CGCTCAAAAAGCAACTGCTTCTACGATGTACTGTCCGGCATATAGTGTAAATGATGAAACGCTGGGAAGTCAGGTGATGCAAACGGCTCAAGGTGATGATCGAGCAACAGACAAACAAATGGGGGGAGGGGCTAATTAAGCCATGAAACAGCGATAACCAGCGGATGGTAGGTGTATACACTTAAATGAAATTTACTTATAAAATTAATATCAAAAATCGAATTAAGTCCTTAGGTATTAGTCATCGAACGGGACACGGGGAAATCTACGGAAGGGACAGATGACAAGCAATCCCAAAATTAGACAGGAGGGAAGATCTAGAAAACACCGACTGATTAACATTAGCAGACAAGACGACTGACAGTGGATCACCATTTTTACGATTAGAACAAAGAAACGATGTAGAAGAAGTCAAATAACTGTCGTCAATAAGCATTATGACGAAATGAGTGATATTTTGCCAGTGTACATGATTTATTGACTGATTATCAACATTCAGAGGACAAAAGCAAAGGAAAAATTTATGATACTCTAATTACTGACATCAGCACATAATGCGACCAACTGAGGCAACTTTCCTGGGATTTTACCAAAAGGAATACTAAAAGGCAATGACTCGCTGATATTTAACGATAGAATGCCAGCCTGGAGGACAGATAAGGAAAAACGTTCCTTGAACCAGATTACACAGAAGATGCTAAATGACTGAAATTAGTAAATAAAATTACTAAAATAAAATGCCAATCTGCCTGACCGATCAATAGATCTCTGATAGAATTCACGTTACCAGGACCACAAAAGCTCATAATGGACCCACTCAAATTTCGATTAGTTCGGAAAGCTGTCAGCAGAGCATATCAGCTGTCCTAACTGAATGTCACAATAGTGGTAGATCAGACAGCAAGATCTATTGTAAATCTATTCAAATCTGCTCTGGCCGATCCTCTCCAGTAAATGCGTTTCGATTTCTCATTCAACAACGTTCCAATATGCATGCGTCTATGGGAGGACTGAAACGTAAAGAAAATCTGTGATCCCGCAGGCGGCTATGCCGAACGAGGAATGGGAAAGGTAAAATCTGACTGAATCGATTTTCTCATGTTAACCCATACATTTAGATGTTCATCTGCATTAACTTTCTATTCACAAAGCCGTTTCCTCTTCATTATTCCTTGTCTCATAATGTATTTTGTTCGCTTGTTTTTGTACATTGCATATTGTTACACCAATGAACTTCAGTCTCAGTCAACTGAAACCTAACTTAGTGTTGGTTTAGTGCCCTATTTCCGCTAATCTAAGCAGTAAACTCTTTCGACTGATTAAAAGTACTTTAGAATTGTGTCAATCTGGACTACTACAGACTACGAAAAGCATAGCTTTATTGCCATTCTGGACAGCTTCGTGGCCTTCACTTTCTCAGAAAAGCTCCAGTATTCAGATTTCGCCGTATCAAACGATGATAAAAGTTGAGGGAAGTTTACTTTAAAGCAGTAAAAACTGCTCTATCTTTTTACAGCGGACAGTATAGCAGAACAATTTCTGTCGAACGCTTGAAATCGCCAGGACACAACTAGCTGAGTCTTCGTTGTCATCGACCGTCACCCTGCCGACGTTGCAGTGGCAGCACATGATCACGTTAAATGTGTCGGCCTTCAGTAATGTATAGCAGGCACAGTTCTTTACGTGGGTAAAAAACGCGACGCCTGATCGGCTACAGGACACAAGGATAGGTTCTACGGTGCCCTTAAACACTAGGTGCAGGCAACAGAGGAAACAGGCCGGCGCAGGCAGGTGAACCTCGACGTTCTTGCCCATGAACGACACGAACTGCGGCTCGACCTGGTACAGCGTGATGTTGAACGCCCGTGAGCAGACGGTCAGGTGCGAAAACGAGTTGACGGCATCCGCCGAGCCTCCTCCTCCTCGTTTGGCGGCCGACTTCTCGCCACTGTACTTGACGCTGTTCGGACCGGACGAGTGATCATCAGAAGTCAGGTACGACTCGAGCCTCGGCTTCAGTACGATGTACTTGTCTTCAGGCTGTGACAGACAGACGATGGCGCCGGGCCCGTGATCATCAAGGTCGGTCGAGAAGCAGCACGAATAGCAGGTGATGTGTTCTGACACCTCCCATTTACAGATCGCCAGTAACTTACCGACGTTCGTCTTGTCGTCGAACGAAAAGCGGTAGGTGCGGACGACGCGGTCGGTCAGGCCGACCATCAGCTCGTTCTGTGAGTCGCCGTCAAAGTCCGCGATGCAGGCCACTTGGATGTTGGCCTGCAGCGGCTGGCACAGCAGCAACTCAAGTGTATCATTCAGCTGACTTCCAACCCTGAACACGTTGCACGCACCGTCAGCGCTAATGCATACCAGCAAACGACGGTCATCGTTGAAGAGATTCCCGGCGGCCAGCGCACTCACGTAGCCAAGATCCGCCTGCGAAGTCCATGCCTTGCTCTGACGACAACGGAAAATGCTTAGATGACCACACCGGCTACCGGCGATTGTTTCCAGCACACCGTCGCTGTCGATGTCGTCTACCAGCAGACAACTGCACACGTAAGGATAGCACAACTCGTCGATGCTGTCAAACGCCATTTCTTTCATGGCGAATCCTTGGCAACCGATGACCGTCTTGCCTGGAAACAGCCAGCTCAGCACAGTCAATATTTTTACTCCTAGAAGCAACGGTTCAAAGACTGTGTACGCTAAAGCAAATCGATCCACAGACGCGCTGAAACGCGGTCCATTCGTTAAACAGGTCCACCGATGGTCACCCGGTGTTGCAACTGACTTGCGATCAATGGTCATTCGCTTCGCTATTCCATAACATTCATCCAGCTACCCGTTCACGGAATCCAAGGTTCAGCAAGTAGCAGTTCGGATATTCATACAAGCATGTACAGTTCTGAAGCCATATTCACTGGGCGAGATATCTTTGTCCTTTCAGGATGCTTCGTTTTAACGTGCATCCGCGATCATTTATTTTCTCCGGAGCTGGGTCCTGTCCTTTGAGCGACGGTGCTTTCTGTTTCTCGTATGTAATATTTCCCTTTGCACGGTGAATCGGTTGGATATGCCGCAGATGACCCTCTCTGACAGGGCGAGACGGTAAGGCGCGACCGAGATCTCACCAAGTGACTACCCTCTGGATGTGGACGACAAACGTTACAGTTTACGAAGGTTAGCACTCTACATGAA